GGTCCCCCCGCAATCTCTTCTCCTCCATTCTCCTCTCGGGATCTTGGGCACACACGCACACGCGCCCTGCGTTGAGTTCAAGCCGCCGGCTCCGGGACTCAAACTGCGGTCAACTACATGGGAGTCCAGCAACATAACCATTATGCCAACTGCTGGTCCCATATCATTTCTTTATTTATTTTAATTTGACCAGAGAGGGACAGAGAAAGAGAGAGGGAAAGTGAGAGAGCAAGCTGCCAGGTCCAGGACTCAAACTGCAGTCAATCACGTGGGAGGCCAGTATTCTAAACTACCTGCCAACTGTCGGCCTCAAGGATCAATATCTTTACTCTTCTTTTTTGAAAAAGAAGGGGGGAGGGGACCAGCAGTTGGCATAATAGCTATGTCGCTGGACTCATGTAGTCGACCGTAGTTCGAGCCCCGGACCCGGTGGCTTAAACTCACACTGGGCGCGTGTGCGTGTGTGCTCAAGATCCCGAGAGGAAAATGGAGGAAATGGGATTGTGGCGTGGCCATCCCCCCGGAGGGTGATTTCTCGCTTTCTGTCTCTCTGTCTCTCTCTGATGTTTTGGTGCGTGCACATACCCTATAGCAAAAACCTCTAAATAAATACAATCAAATCTTCAAAGTCTCTTCGCTGGGACCAGCAGGTGGCGGCGTGGTGGTTAAGGTGCTGGACATTCTCATATGGCCGACCATGGTTCAAGTCCTGGACCTGATAGCTTGCTTTCTCACTTTCTCTCTCCCTCTCTCTTTCCCCCCCCTCTGTCTGTCTCTCTCTGGTTAAATTAAAATGAACAAATGAATAAATAAAGTTAAATAAATAATTCTTTTAAAAAAATACTTAAAAAAAAAAAAGTCTCTTCACTAAAAATGAAGCTGTAGAAGTGAAACCAGCTGTAAAATGGAATTCACTTCAAAGAACTTTACCGGGATGTCCCCTTTCCATTAATCAAGCGCTGGTGTCTTGGTTAAAGAGAAGGTCGGTCTGAGTTGAGGACAGCATGTGTCACTGGGTATCTATATAAACTCTGACCCCTAAGCCCTGGCTGGATGTTTTACATAGCTTTTCTTTTTGGAGAGGTTTTTTTTTGCCATAGGGCGCGTGCGCTCGCCAGACAGACAGAGACACAGAGAGACAGAAAGCGAGAAATCACCCCCCAGGGGGGATGGCCACGCCGCAATCCCTTCTCCTCCAGTCTCCTCTTGGAATCTTGGGCACGCACGCACGCACACGTGCCCGGAGTGAGTTTTAAGCCACCGGGTCCAGGACGCGAACCGCGGTCGACTCCGTGGGAGTCCAGCGACATAGCCATTACACTAACTGCTGGTCCCTTACATTGCTTTTCATTTAATCCCATGCTCATCTACTGACTCCGCTTCACCGCTGAATAGGTCCTGGCCCTGGGAGTCCTTGGAGCTACCGCTTACCCTCTAGGTCTCGTTCTCTATACAGTAGGCCATGGCACAGAGTTAATACACACCAACCATGCAGAGCAGTGTTGGGGGCCTCACAGCCACCCATATCCTTTCGAATGACTACTGTGGCTCTTAAAAAATGCGATCAGGGACAATCACTTATCCAAGGTCACATAGGCACTGGGGATGCCTGGGGTTTGAGCCCAAAGCCCCTCTGGCTCCAAGCCCATCTCCTTGATGCTGTAAGATACTCAGTGGGAGTCAGGCGCCAGGTCTGTCCTTGATTTCTCCGGCAGCCTAGGACAGGCCAGGGCACAAACCGGCTGCTATACCCTAGAACTGTAGGCCATCCCACAGGCCCTTCTGGCTCTAATGCTGGGGAAGAACCTTAGATTTTAGGAAAACACCATCTGCTGTCAGTCCCCCTTCCCCTGCCTGGTGAGGTTCAGCAAAATTCAAATCTGGGCCCTGACAAGCGGTGTGGTAGTTAAGATGGATGGATCCCGCAGGGCCACCTGAGGGGTTCAAGTATAAGACAGGCAGCTTGAAATCATGCCAGGGGGGTGCCTCAACCCCCGAGAGCAGAATGGAGAAGGGATAGTAGTGTGGCCAACGCCTGAAGGTGCTTTCTCACTCTCTCACCACCAAGTATATGCCCTACAGCAAAATTACAAAACAAAATCATTTTGAACCTGATCTTGGCCTTCTTCCTTTCCGGGCTCTGGAGTCTGCCCCATGCCAGGCAGTGCAGGGGTGATGAGTTCTAGGAAGGGGGCTGGGAGGATGGAAGTCAGAGGGAGCAATCATTCTGAGAAAGGCAAAGGAACGGCATCTGCAAATTGATCCTGGGCATTCTTAGTGTTCATTATTCTGTGAGCAAGTCTGGGCGTTGAGGCCAGACTACAGCCTACCGGTTAAGGCACCTGAATTCCACACGGCCAACCACGCAGTTTGAGTCCCAGACCTGGTGGCTTGAAAAATAATGCCAGGTGCATGTGTGTGCGCAGCCAAAATCTTGAAAAAGAGGAAGAAATGGAGAAGTGCAATATGACTATTCCCCAAGGGGGTGGCGGTGATTTTCTTCCTCTTGCTCACAAATTAAAAAAAGAGGGAGGGTGATAACACCAATTTCCATTCCCATTCAGTACGGGGCTCAGGAGGGCCGAGGGTGAGAAAACGAGCAAGACACCTGATATATAAGGAATAATAACATGACAGTTATACATATTTTATACAATAAAGTTGTCAAATCACTTTTCCTAGAACCCTTAAGAGGGCATAAAAACACTACACCTCCCACTGCTGCACCTGAAAGAGGGACTGACCCAGCCCAGAGACCAGAGGACTAGTCCAGGGCGTGCGGGTCCACCTCAGGGCCTCTGCTCTCCAGCGGCCATCCCGAAACGGGGGAGCGCCACACCTACCTGGCTGGCGTAGAAATGCCCGATGATCTTAACGATGACCTGGTCATTCTCATCAGGGGTCTGGTCTCTTGGCACTACCACCTCAGCCGCTGTCAAATTCTGCAATTCATTCACCTAGGGGTGACCAGAAAGGAGCTCAGGGTGCCATCGAGAAAGCAAGGGGGCGGGACCATCAGATCACAAAATGGGTACATCGCTGGACTCCCAAGTAGTCGACTGCATTCGAGTTCTGGACTTGGCGGGTTAAAACTCACACTGGGTGCATGTGCATGCGTGCCCAAGATCCCGAGAGAACAGAGAATAGAGAGAAGACAGAAGAAGGGAGTAGAGGAGAGTGGCGAAGGGATTGCAGTGTGGCCACCATCCCCCCTGGGTGATTTCTCACTTTCTGTCTTTCTCTCTGTTGAGCACACAAGTCCTATAGCAAAAATCTCTCAAAAAAAAGGAAAAAGAAAAAAGAAAGCAGGGGTGGGACTAGAGGAGGGGAAAGGGGCGGGTGAAACTCAGAGTCAGCAGCCAAGCATGGGGAACAGGATCCTGAAAACGGGCAAATTGGAGCCCAGCAGAGCTGCTTGGCTGAGACTAAGGCGCGCAGAGCTCTTGGTCCAGCCCTGGTAGCTCACCGTTTTGCCGCCTTTGCCAATGACCCGGCCAGCTGCCGACGCCGGCACCCGTATGTGGGTCTCCAGTTTTACTTCCTCCTTGGGACCAAAGAAGTTCTCCTCCTTGAGCTTGCCGTAGATTCTTCCCTGAGCCTGGAAGAGGGTAGCTGTCAGTCAGCAGCCACGTGTCCATGACCAAAGGGAAGGGGCAGTCCCCAAGCCCCATTCCCCACCATAGTGGGATCGACCACAGCCGGCAGGGGGTGTGAGAGGCTCAGCTGGGAGACCCGCAAACCCTGCTTCTGCTTCTCAGCAACACTGGAGACAGGGGTAGGGACTATTATGAGTTCTGAGAACTGAGTAAGTCCTTCCCAAAGGAATAACATCTCCCAGAGGACAGAATTCCTAAACTACAAACTAGGCCTCTGGGGTCTGGGTAAATGCACATATTGAAGTGGCCATAACTAGCAATTCAAGACCCTGAATGACAGCCAATAGTCCCGCCGAGGACAGGCTGCCTGGCTCTCCACAGGGGCCTAGAACTAGAAAGCTGACCCTGGCCACTCCCCTCCCACAGGCCAGGTTAAGTTCACGGTCAGTTCTTTGGCTGTCTGATCAGCAGTTCGCGAGCCTAAGGATGTGGTAAAGACATAAGGAGAGGCGGGAACCGGCATGGAAAGCCTTCCCTAGGAGCTAAGGTAGCATGCAAAGCAGCAGCCCTGGCTTCCTTCTTGCCCGTGTTTTCACATGGACCTTCAGGGAGGGAAGAGAGGAGTAGGGGACGTGAACGCTGACACCAGTGTGGGCACTCTACAGCCCGGTAACCTTCAGGGAAGACTTCCAAGAACCTGACAGCTAGTGAGAAAGATCCTCAGCCTTCTCCCTGCACTCAGGCCAGCCCCCAACCTCGGTTCCCCTAGTGCCAGCCTAGAAAAACAACAAAGAATGAAACCTTGAATTGGGCCTCTGGGGGTCCAGTGATGATAACCATACGGACTTTGGAGTCGGGCGTTTCAGGCGGAGCAATCTACAAAGCAAACAGGTGGTCAAGGAGGGACACTCTACAAGAAGACACCCCGCCCCCGTCTCCACTATCTCCACCTCCCCCAGTCCCGTCCACTGCCCTTCCTTCCATTCACTACCCATTTCGAGGACTGGGGGGAGGGGAGAGCAAGAACCCACGTCCCAGTCACTGCCCGGCACGCCACACTACTGCAAGGACACGGGTGGTGGTGAAAGGATCCCAGGACGGGGCGGCCGGAGCAGGTCACCTTGATGGAGGCGCTGGCGAACCGGGAGAGCTGCTTGATGTGCTGCCCCTTCTTGCCGATGATGGCGCCCACTGCCTGGGCGGGAATGAACACCTGCACCATCTCCTGCTCCGGCGCCTGCTGCCAGGATACGGAGCGTTATCACCAAGGGACCACGGGGCATGGGGGCAGAGTCACAGCCCTTCACACCCCTGCCCTGCCTCCCCAAAGAGGAAGGCGTGCAGGCAGCCCGCTGCCACCTCAACTGCTGGAGGACGCCACGAGCTCTTTAGCCCAGTGAGGCCACGCAAGGAAGAGGTCGGTGGGAGCCAGGCAAGTGCTGCCAGCCTCCTGGACACCACCCTGGGCTGAGCTGTGCATGGCAAGCACACTGGAGAATCAGCGTCATGGCTGGGAGCAACGTAGAGGAGGGACATCCCGAGACCTCCTTTCCACCTCCCTGGAAACCCCCAAGTATCAGACTCTCACAGAGCATTGGATCCATTAAAGGAGGCCGCACATGGTTCTGGGGGTCCCCGCAGAACCTACCATAAAGGAGCTGTAGGGGGCAGCCCCAGTGACACTGCTGGGAGGTGGTGGGACTGCACTGGATGAGGCTGGGAAGAGACCCACGGCAGCCAGGTTCAGGCCAGGGATCAGGTGAGACTGTAGCTGGAGAAGGAAAGGCAGGGTCAGCCTGTTCTGACAGGGCCAGATGGTTCCCTGGGGTGGCCCTGGCTGAACGAGGAAACGGGGATGCCCCCAGGAGGGGCCAAAGAGAATTGCATGCTTTCGCACAAAAGTCTGCCTGGCCTCGTAGCTTTTACACCCTCACGCACACACTTCAGGTTGCAGCTGGGTGTGAGGCATCCTCAGTGGACCGAGATAGCAACTCCAGTCAACTGTAGCACACCTCTCTGTGGTCACCCACGCATGGCAAGACTCCACTCATCACCTGCACGATCACACTGCTAGGAAGAGGGGCAGAGACAGAGCCCCACTTATTTGACTTCCAGGGCTCAGATAGAGGTGGCAGCAGGTGGTGTGGTAGTTAAGGTGCTGGGTCTCACATGGCTGACTATAAGGTTTGAGTCCTGGACCAGGCACCTTGAGAAACATGCCAGGCACATGAGTGTGTGTGCCCCAAATCCCAAGAAGTAAATAGAAGAGAAGGGACTGTAGCATGGCCATCCCTTCTGGGGAGGTGATTCCTCACCCCCTTCCCCTCTGTCTATGACTCTCTCCGTCACCCTATAGCAAAAACTAAAATGAATGAATAAATAAAGATCGGATGTAAATTCTGGGTAGGTACACAAACAGACACACATTTCACACATACCTGTAGGACACTCACAGGCCCCAACGGCCAAGATTGGATGCCCTCCCCCCCCCATTCCTATCCCAGGCACCACATAAAGAGCCCTGTTAATAAAATACAAACTTAAAAGCCTATCTCTGAGGCCGGCCCTAGGGTGCAGTGGTAATGCCCTGCTCAACAGAAGATGGATTCCACGTGGCGACCTGGTTTGAATCCCTGCCCCAGTGAGCACCCAAGATCTGACAGGCTAGGAACTGGAGGAGGTGGGTCACCCTGTGACCAGGCTGTGGAGGATGCTTCCCGCTCTCTTACATGCAGTGCACACACTCTAACGTGAATTTAAAAAACCAAGTTTAAAGGCGCCCGGCACTCACACTCATGGCGGCCACATCATTCTCGTAGGCCTCCCGGACTTTCTTCATGATTTCCTGCTCTGCCCTGCAGCAGTTCTCGATGGCCCCCTTCACAGTGATGGTCCTCTCGGGGTTGTAGAGGGTGAGGTCCTGCAACCTGGCAGGAAGGACACAGCAGTGTTAACCTTGTGCCAGCATGCCAAGACCAGGCCCTGGTTGGCAATGAGGACAAGAAGCCAGCCGAATCATAGGTCTCCCACTTCTGCAGGCATGAACTTCTGCAAAACCACTCTGACTCCACCCTTCAGTGTCCCTGGTACGTAACCACCAAGGCAGGGACAAGAGCATACCCCACCAAAACCCCTTCATCTGCGGTGACCCCGATCACGAGCGCACTGTGGTCCCTGGTCAAGCAGGAAGACTTGAACCTAGGCCTCTGATTGGCCCCACATGCTTGAGGCAATCTGTACCCAGTGCCTTCTGGGAGGAAAACAAGGACTTTGCCCACAGACTAGTCCTGGTGAAATGGGCAGAGAGGCAGCCCACCACATAGAGTGGACCAAGATCATTGCTTCCCACGGCAGCTGCCAGGCCTGGAGGCCCCAATCTCCCCCAGATGCACAGGAAGGAGCTATGATGGGGCAGGCGGCTATGAGGGCAGCTCCAACAGCCCTGCCCAGACCGCAGTAAGAGCAGGGGACGCCAAGCCTTATGGGTAAGACCATGATCTTCACCACGACTTTGAGCAGAAACAGCACCCCACTTAACAGGGCAAGTGTTATGGCTCAACGATGAAATACTGGCCCCCACATTACCGCTCATATGTAGGTGGGCGGGAGAGAGCCTTACGAAGAGATGGTGATTTTCGTCTCTGTGTCTTGCTCCACCTTCTTCAGGTTCCGCCCTTCCTTGCCAATGAGACGCCCCACGAAGTTGTTATGGGCCAGGATCTTCAAGGGGACCTCGTCAGCCCTGGAGAAAAGGGGCAGAAGTGGGGGCAAGAATGCCTTGGGGACACGGAGACTCAACCATCACTTCATCACGGACTCCAGGACACACTACAGCATGAAAATAAGTGTTAAAAGATGACGAAGGGCCGGCCCCAGGGCCTGGCAAGAAGGGAGCCCGGATGCACGTGGCTGACCAAACAATCTGAATCCTGGTCCCTATGACTTGAAAAACACACCAGGCATATGTGCATGCATGCCCCAGTTCCCACCAAGATGGAGAAAGGGTGGGTCACTCCACACTGAGGGGACAGACTCCACTCACACCCCGCATGAGAAAGCTATGCGAGGGGGGGCAAAGACAGAGAGCTTCCATTGGCGTGACCACGCTCCGTGGAGGGTGCCACTCCCCTCTCCTTTCAGTCGCTGCTAGCCACACCAGGCATATGTGCATGCATGCCCCAGTTCCCACCAAGATGGAGAAAGGGTGGGTCACTCCACACTGAGGGGACAGACTCCACTCACACCCCGCATGAGAAAGCTATGCGAGGGGGGGCAAAGACAGAGAGCTTCCATTGGCGTGACCACGCTCCGTGGAGGGTGCCACTCCCCTCTCCTTTCAGTCGCTGCTAGCACACAAACCTTTGCAAAAAAAAAAAAAAGACAAAACTCAGCAGGTTGGTGGTCACTTAGGGATAGAGAAATAGGGAGATGATTAACAAGCTGGCACAAAAAAACTTAGTGATGGGTGGTTTTTGTTTTCGTTTTGTTTTGTTTGTTTTTTGCTAGAGGGCGTGTGTGCTCAGGGTGGAGGGCAGTGAAGAGGTACCTCTCATGGTGGGGGACGGCCACATCACACTCCCCTCTCTTTCATTCTCCTTTTTGGATTCTGGAATGCATACACACACCTGCTGCGTTTTTCAAACCACTGGGTTGGCCACGAGGGATTCAGTTACCTCCACCACCATAGCTGGCTGGCCCTATAAATATGTTCTTTACCTTAAATTGTAGTGATGTTTTCAGACGTACATGTCTGCAAACATGGAATGCTTTTTTGGCTTTGTAAAATGGTATGCTTTCTTTTTCTTCTTTTTTTTTGAAAGAGGTTTTTGCAATAGGGTATGTATACTCACCAGAGACGAAAAGCAAGAAATCACCCCATGGGAGGGAGGATGGCCACACTGCACCCCCTTCTCCTCCAGTCTCCTCGAGGACTTTTAGGTACACATGCACATACACCCGTCTAAGTTTCAAACCACTGGGTACAGGACTCAAACTGCAGTTGGCCATGTGGGAGTCAAGCAACGTAACCATTACGCCATCTACTGGTCCCCAAATGGTCACCGTTAACAACATGTGATTTATTATATAATCCTGAAAAAAGCTATCCGAAAAAAAAAAGAAAGAAAGAAAATTCCGAAGGGGGCCAGCCCCTAGGCCTGGTGATTACGGCAGCCAGATCCCACATGACCAACTGCATGGCTCGCGTCCTGGTCCCAGCAATTTAAAAAAGTGCTGGGAGCATATTCAAAATACAGAAAAGGATGGAGAAACGGAGAAGGGATTTTGGTGTGACCATGCCTTGTGGGCAGTGCTTTTTCTTTCCCTCCAAGAGACATGTGTAAACAAAATAGATCCCTTGTACCAATAAGGAAAATCTGGAAGTAATCTGAACATCCAAAACAAACAGAGAACTGGGTAAATGAGCGATGGGCAGCCGCACTGCAGGTTTCTGTGCAGCTGTAAGAAGTACGAGGCGAGGCGGTGCGGACCGGCGTGGGTGCTCATATGGAAAGTAAAAAGAGCACAGACGAGCATGTTGAGTATGATCCTCTGTGCACAGAAACATACGTGCACGCATGTACATGAGCACATGTGAACACACGCACACCCACATACACATGCTTGTGAGTGCACAGAATGCTTAAGAGGTTTTGCAATCCATTACTGGTCGAGATTAAGAAGCAGATTACATTTCTCAGCTTATATCCTTTTTTTGGAGAGGTTTTTGCTATAGGGCGCATGCACTTGCCAGAAAGACAGAGAGAGACAGAGAGACAGAAAGCGAGAAATCACCCCCCAGGGGGAACAGCCACGCTGCAATCCCTTCTCCTCCATTCTCCTCTCGGGATCTTGGGCACACACACGCACCTGGTGTGAGTTTAAGCCACCAGGTCCAGGACTCGAACCGTGGTCGACTACATGGGAGTCCAGCAATGTAGCCAAGACACCAACTGCTGGTCCTCTCAGTTTATATTCCATTGTACGCTCTTTGGCTACGACTCCTGTCTCTGCACTATTGCTACTGTAAAGTGGGGGTAGGCAGGCCCTGAAGTTCCAAGAGAAGAAAAGCCGCAGCCTTACGTTTTGGTGTCCTTGGCCTCCTTATGCATAATCTCCAAGATCATCTTACAGGCAGAGGAGCAGCCCTCGGGAGTCGAGTGGACACTGATGGCCTTCTCCGCCGCACCCGCGTTCTCCTTCCTGTGCACGTCTATCCTGGGGGCCACAGAGACAGAGCCAGTTAGGTCTCCCCAACACCAAGTCTTCAGGCACACCCCTTCCCTAACCACACACATACAAAGCATAGAAACTGCTTTTCTCAGAGCAAGGTCGATTAAGTGCAGAATCGGGAAGGGCAAAGAAAGTGCCAAAAGGGCCCAGCTAGTGGCATGGGGGTTAAGGTGTCTGGACCCCACATGCCGACGGAGTGGTTTGAGTCCTTCCAGACCTGGCAGCTAGAAAGCCATGCCAGGAGTGTGTGCATGCATGCCCAAAATTGAGAGGAGAATGGAGAAGGAATTTTGGCGTGGCCATCCCCCTCGGGGAGTGTTTTCTCACTCACTCCCTCTCTCTCTCTCTCTCTCTCTCTCTCTCTGGTAAGTGCATGTGTCCTATAGAAACTGGAAAAGGGGGGATGGGGCAGGAAAGGAAGACCCAGTAGGTTACTTGGGTTCTGACTTGAACCAGTAGCCTCTCCATGGGGGAGCAGCTGGGGCAAAAACACAGCCTGTCACAGGGGTGAAAGGTGCCTTTTCCTGGGAGTCTGGGTTGTCCCCTGGAAACGAGGGAAGACGCCATGTCCCAAGCTGTAAGTATTGGAGGGATCTGGGGTGAATGAGGACACAGTGTGACCAGTTCTTTCCCACACAGTACAGAGTTGGGCTATAGAGATTAGAGAAAGGGGGTGGCTGTGGCAGAGTGGGAGATGGGACATAACGGTGACCGAGTCCTGATGGCCCTGACTCGGGGCAGGCTGGCCAGACTCATGGCCACCGCTAAGTGGCCATGAAACCAGAGCATGGAGAGATGGTTGACTCACAGGCCTGGGTTTGTGTCAGGAGCCTTTCTAGGAAACTTTATTTGGAAATTATAGACTCCTTCTTGCTAATGATGGTGTGCGGCCCGGCCACAGCCACCAACAGCACGGCCCAGGGCCATTCTCCTGCCCCTACACAGGAGGCTGCAAGTGGAAGCAGTCAGTGGGCCCAACCGCTCCTAGCAATATTCCCCAAGTAATAGGCATCGATGGCCCTTTGGGTACTTCCAGTAGACCTGCTGGGGATAGCCACCTTCCCTATGACAGCCTCTGCTCCCAGCAGCTCAGACTCACTTGGACTGCGTCTGTTTTGTGATGTTGCGGATGGTGGCACCCTCCTTGCCAATGATGGCACCCACGTACTGGGTGGGCACCAGGAGCCGCAGGGGGATGTCCACCTGCTGCTGCTTGGCTGGGGCTCCTGCTGCCACAGGTGAGCCCTGGCGAGGCTGACCCCGCGAGCCAAAGCCCCCGCGGCGCCCGTTCTCAGGACCCTGTGTTATCTGCTCGTCGGGAATGTAGGAGACCTTCAGCGCGTGGTTCTCCAGCTGGTGGCCGTTCAGCTTCATGATGGCTCTGGGGGCAGAGTGAGAATTGATTTATTGGTCATGGAATCCACACCAATCGTACCAGAAACACACTGGGCACGCATGTGTGGTCAGCTGCCCACCCTCTGCCCACACCCCCACCCTAGAGGAACTTCCACTGTACATGGCATAAGGATCACAGGAAAAGTAAATAAATACAGTGTCCCCTGACTTATGATCATAAGTTCACATCCTTAGTGCGCACACATGCACGTACGTACACACACACACACACACACACACCTGAAGTCAGCCCGACAAACAGTAGTTAAGGGAGCCCGATCCCACATGGCATCCAAGATCAAATACCAGCCTGGGGCTCACAAGACATACCGGGCATGTGTGTGACCACGCCCCAAATCCTGACAGGAAGGAGAAGTGAAGAGGAGAAAATTGTGACGTGACCGATTTCCACTGTGGGGAAAGGCGTGCTCGCTCTCTAGGGAGCACACCCATTCCCTGCAGGTGGCACGGTGGTTAAGATACTAGACGTCCACATGACTAATTGTGGGTCAAATCCTGGGCCTGGCGGCTTGAAACATGCGGGCACATGTGTAGGCACACCCAGAATCCCAGGAGAATAGAGAAGGGACAGCAACATGTCTCTCTCCTCTCTGGTGAGGGCATGCGTCCCTATGGCAAAAATCTTTTTTTTTTTTTTTTTGTTTAATGCACTTGGGACCAGCAGTTAGCATAATGGCTATGTCGCTGGACTCCCACGTAGTCGACCGCAGTTCACATCCTGGACCCGGTGGCTTAAAACTCACGCCGGGCGCGTGTGCGTGCGTGCCCAAGACCCCAAGAGGAGAATGGAGGAGAAGGGATAGTGGCGTGACCATCCCCCCTGGGGGGTGATTTCTCGCTTTCTGTCTCTATGTCTCTCTCTCTTTCTGGCGAGCGCACGCGCCCTATAGAGAAAACCTCACCAAAGAAAAAAAGCACTTAATACATCTGATTTTCCAAACACAGCTCAACATAGCCTAGCCTACTTAAATTTGCTCAGAACACTTACATTAGCTTACAGTTGAGCAAGGTCATCTTTTTTCTTTTGGAGAGGTTTTTCACTATAGGGCGCGTGCGCTCGCCAGAAAGAGAGAGAGACATAGAGACAGAAAGCGAGAAATCACCCCCCGTGGGGATGGCCACACCGCAATCCCTTCTCCTCCATTCTCCTCTCGGGATCTTGGGCACGCACGCACACATGCCCGGCGTGAGTTTCAAGCCACCGGGTCTGGGACGCGAACCACAGTCAACTACGTGAGAGTCCAGCAACATAGCCATTAAGCTAACTGCTGGTTCCCGAGCAAGGTCATCTAATTCAGGACTTATAGTAATGTAATTTACTTATCTCATGTAATTTACTGACTATTGAACTGAAAGTGAAAACAGAGGTGCTTGTATGGGTGCATAAAGCAGTTTCTGCTGAATGCATATTGTTTTCGCACCATTCGAAAGTCAAAAAGGGGGACCAGCAAATGGCATAGCAGTTACATCACTGGATTGCCACATGGCCGACTGCAGTTCAAGTCCTAGGCTCGGCTTGAAAATCATGCCAGGCACATGTGCGTGCATGCCCAAGATCCCAGGAGGGGAATGGAGAAGGGATCACAGGAAGACGAAGCCACAGATCTCAAAGAGCTCCTGTGTCAGCTGGAGGACAAAGCAGGTACTTGGAGTAACCAGGCAAAGCTGCCATACGCACTTCCCTGACTAGAGAATCCTATCAAGGGCTGACGAAAGCGTGTACTCCCTACTAGGAAATTCTAATTTCATAGAGGATAAAGCAAGGTCAAAGGAACCTGAAATGTCCTGTTTGTAGGGTTCAAGTACATTAGCCCTGCCCCGGCATACCCTGAAGAAATGAGGGGCGAAGATGTTCGGCTGAATTAGGACTTTAGTGTCCCACTTGGAGTCTCACTGGTCACTCGTTATGTGAGCAATGCACCACCTCGTCTAGACCGAAATCTCATGAGCTGTCCAATAAGGAGTCGATACCCGACCTGCCCGTCTTAGCAGCTATCACACTAGGCCTGTGACCCATTGAGTTAAGTTGTGCATACAGTGGGGCCAGCAGATAGCATAACGGTTTCGTCGCTGGACTCCCACATGCCGACCACGGTTCAAGTCCTGGACCTGATGGCTTGAAACTCATACCAGGTGCATGTGCGTGCGTACCCAAGATCCCAGGAGGAGAATGGAAGAGAAGGGAGTGTGGCATGGCCATCCCCCGTAGAGGGTGATCTCTCACTTTTCCTCTCACTGTCTTGGTCTCCCTCTCTCTCTCTGGTAAGCACACACTCCCTAAGGCAAAAACTTCTCCTTCTTCAAAATAAGTTGTATGTACAATGCAAGGTAGGAGTCCATATTCATCTTTTTGCATATCAAATTGCCCCAGCATCAAATTGCCCCCATCTACTAAAAAGATTCCTTCTTTCCCACTGAATTCTTAGTACCTTTGTTAAAAAAAAGAAAGAAAGAAAGAAAGAAAGAAAGAAAGAAAGAAAGAAAGAAAGAAAGAAAGAAGGCCGGTCATATGTAAAAGTGCTTATTCCCAGGCTCTCAGCATTACTCTATTGATCTAGGAGACTTCAAGAGTCTGTGGGAAAATGGAATTCAAGTGTGAGGTTTTGGTTTTTGTTTTGTTTTTTTTTTTTTGGAGAGGATTTTGTTATAGGGTGCCTGCACTCACCAGAAAGAGAGAGAGAGACAGAAAGCAAGAAATCACCCCCCAGGGGGGATGGCCATGCCGCAACCCCTTCTCCTCCATTCTCCTCTTGGGATCTTGGGCACGCATGCACAGGCATCCAGTTTGAGTCTAAGCCACTGGGTCTGAGACTCGAACTGCAGTCAACCACATGAGAGTCCAGCAACGTAGCCATTACGCCACCTGCTGGGACTACTGTGAGTTTATTTGGATGAAAAAAAAAAAAATTAAAATCCAGGCCAGTTCCGCTGCTTGGTGGTTCAGGGAGCCAGACCCCCCGTGGCTGATCACATGATTCAAATCTCACCCTGATAGCTTGAAAAAACATGTGAAGTATGTATGGTGTGCCCTGAATCCCAACAGGATGGAGAAATAAAGAAGGGACTACGGTGTGGCCACACCTCACTGGGGAATGCTTTCTCCCTTTTCCACTGTCTCTTCTCTGACAAACGTAAACACCAACCCCCAACCCCTAGCATTTTTTTAAAAAGTAAAATCCATACATAGTTTTTGAGTAATACACATTTTCTGTGATTTTTTTTTTTTTTTTTTTTGAGTTTTGCTCTCTATATATAGGACATGTGCACTCTCTGGAAAGGGAAGGAGCAAAGGAAAAGTGAGAAATCCCCCCCGGCCCCGGAGTATGGCCACACTGCAAATCCCTTCTCCTCCATCCTCCCCTGGAGATGTCGAGCATATATGCCTGGCATGTCTTTCAAGCCGCCAGATCCGGGACTCAAACCCTGCAGTCGGCCATGTGAGATCTAGCTGCCTTAACCACCATACCACCAGCTGGCCCGTTCTCTGAACTTTTTGAAGACCCATCATATGCCCAGCCTGATGCCAATTCCACACTGATCTGATTACTGCAGCTTTGAAGCAAGTTTTAAAATTGTAAAGTTTTAAGTCCTCTGACTTTGTTCTTCTTGTTCAAGCTTATTATGGCTTCTGTGGGTCCCTTGCATTTCCTCACACTGAATTTTAGGATCGACTTGTCAATTTCAACCAAAGCACGTGATAAATTAAGGGATTGTTATTTTCACATCTATTGAGCCTGGTTCCAAATTCCAAAAATTTGCTTACCAATTGGGAGACTGGAGTCTATGCCTATTTGAGAGGTCGGTGATACAGGGCTGAGCAAGAGTGACAGGAGGGGACAAGCCCAACCCATTCTCACAGCTGGCCCTGGCTAGAAACAGCAACAAGACAGCAACAGGCAGTGGGGAATACCAAGTACTGGCATGCTCTTTAAGCCAGGTGAAGGAGCCCTCAAGGCCACAAGGGCAGAAGGAACCTCTAGAAGATTCTTTTCTTTTTCCTTGAGAGGTTTTTGCTATAGGGCGTGTGCGCTCGCCACACAGAGACAGAGAGACAGAAAGCAAGAAATCACCCCCCAGGGGGGATGGCCACACCGTAATCCCTTCTCCTCCATTCTCCTCTCAGGATCTTGGGCATGCATTCACACGCACCCGGCATGAGTTTTTAAGCCACTGGGTCCAGGACTCGAACAGCAGTCGACTACATGGGAGTCCAGCAACATAGCTATTATGCTAACTGCTGGTCCCGAAACCTCTAGAAGATTCTGAGGCCAGGAGTCTTCTAAAAGAAAATGGCAGGTATCTGGGGGAAGTGGTGGGATTTTACGAGTATCACTAGGTTGGAGGCGGCAGCATGCTGAAGAAAACCACCAAATGCTAAAGGTGGTGAAAGCCCGCAGCTGGGATATATGATAGAAATGAGCAACGTGCAAGATGTGTGGTCTCTCTGCACTGTGGGTGAGAAATGCCACTGCTCAGCTAGTGCACTTAGGAGCTAGGAACTGTAGGTGTGGTGGGACTGACAAGTCCTTAGGAAGGCACTCACTGGGCTCAGGACCAATAATAAAATGTCTGCTTGGGCATGGCACCAATAACCAAGCCTTTGAACCCTGCAGTTCCCCTTTCTCTCACTAGATGGCGCCCACAACACAGCAAAGCACCCTGCAGCCCAGCGACCAATCAGGAGCCCACTTTTCTCCCACCAGGATTTCCCTCTTTCCTGCCTTATCCCGCTATCAGTCCTCATTGAGTTTCTGAACCGGAGACAGACAGACAGACAGACACACACACACACACACACACACACACACACCCGAGATGAAGCACACGAAGGAAACACACACCCTGAGAAAACCTTTCAGGAGGGTGGCTGGGCCAAGATCAGAGCCCAGGTGAGGGCTCCCAGCAGCCCGCCCTGAGACACCCAGCCCCACTCCACACTCACTGCCTGGTCTGCTCCCGGTTGGAATAGGTCACGTTCACCACAGCAGTCTCACTCTCGGTGTTCACTGAAGACAAAAAGGACAGTGTTAGAGGAATAAAACCTAGAAGCCCCACCAAGGACCCCAAGTCCAGGGTTCCATGTTTTGAAGTCAAGAAGGCATTCCTTGACCTCCCTGGAACTTCCGAAACAACCAACTGAAAAGGCAAAAAAAAAACATTTCCAATTAAGTCCCCTCTCCCCAGACTACTAGAAAATGCACATGGGCCTCCCTGTTTTCCTTTGATTTCCCTAGCCCAGTCTAAGGAGTGGGTCCATCCATCATACAGGCCGGGCTGACTGACCCATACACACGTATACACATGTTCGTCCGCACACACACACACCCTGACCTGAGCGAGAGTCACTCTTGGAAGTCAGAACATCTACACCCCATGGATAAGAGTAACAGTTTATAGAATTGTTCCAAGAAATGATAGGTAAAGATACGGTTGAAGAGACTTAAGGAATGCCCAGATCCAGTAACAAAGTTTATCAAGTACAGTAAGACCCGGTTGATAGGAGTGGCTCTCATAGAAGGAAAAAAAAAAAAAAAAAAAAACATGTATGTCATGTACGTCTGCATCTTCTTCAGGGGAAAGGATTTCCTGCTTTCAGGGTCTTCCAAACATCTTGACGTGGCTATGAGCCATCCTGGCTTGGGAACACTGGTCCCTGTTTACCATCAACGTCCACGGCTCTGATGATGAGCGAGCTTTTGGTTTTCAGTAGATTCCCCATACACGGGACTCTTTCTAACAGAGTGGGGTGTGGGCAACATGTTAGCCAGCCAACATTACAACACCTGAGTCATCTGAGGTTACATATTTCTCACTCTGCATTAAAATTAAACTTCTATCTTATGCATCAGCACCTTACAAATTTGATCCCCTGGGCCTGCTCAACTCTGGGAAGGGGAGCACAAATTAAAATCAAGCCGCCCCCCACAACAATGATGGTAAGAAGACACATAGCCCTAAAACCTTGGTGAGACCACTCTTTTTTTAAAGTTTATTTAATTGTATTAATCATTATTATTTCTTTCAACTTGCTACAGGGCACATGCACTGAGAGAGAGAGAGAGAAAGACAGAGAGAGAGAGAGGGAGAGAGAAAGTGAGAAAGCAAGCCGCCAGGTCCAGGACTCAAGCAGAGGCTGGAAGTCTGCACACGCCTGTGGACTTCACCACACCACTGCTGGCCCTGGTGCAGACCACTCGTAGATTCTCTGGTTATTGTCAGTGCCTGGGATCAGCTTGTCAATTTCTAGCAAAACTTTATGTCGTATGGGAGTCACCTGACAATCACATATGAAAACACATGATAAATGAAGGGATCTGTTTTTCCACCAGCCATCCAACTGGCAAACCCTCTGCCTTCATGGAACCTATGATCCAGGAGAGGGAGATAATAAACCTGACAACGAAGCAAATGATTGAATATCAGAAAGCGACGGTGCTGTGGAGAAATACAAATAAGGGCAAAAGGGTAGGGGGTAAGGAGGGGGAATTTTCAACAGGGTGGACAGAATGGACCTCACTCACAGAGGGACATTTGAACAGCAGAGGACTTCAGCATCCAACAAAACCAAGCATTTCCCTCGGGGTCCGGACAGTGGTACAGAAGTAACACATGTCACTGGGAGGCTGACCCACACAGGGAGGCTCCAGGTTCACATCCAGAGACCTCCCTGAGTATGCCAGGCACGCATGCGTCTATGATCCCGGCTGACTAAAGCTGGGGTGGATCAAGACACTGTTGGGGATACTGCATCTCCAACAGTGTCTCTATCTCTCGCTCTCTCTTGCTTATGGAGAAAAATAAACTTAAAAAAAACAATAAAGGAGTCAGCAGGTGTCGTGGAGTTAAGGTGCTGGACTCCTCTGTAGCCGACTCAGTTTGAGTCCTGGACCTGGCAACTTGCCTTTTCACTTTTCCTCTGGTCAAATTTTTTTAAAATAATAATTCTTGGGAGACCAACAGGTGGCCACCACATGGTCGACCACGGTTCAAGTCCTGGACCTGGTGGCTTGCTTGCGCTCGCTCGCTCTCTCTCTCTCTCTCTCTCTCTGGTCAAATTAAAATAAATGAATAAATAAAAATTAAAAATAAATCATTAAAAATAACAATAATAATAATAGTTCTTTATAAACAAAAAAGAGGGGTCAGCGGATAGTGTAATGGTTAGTTATGTCACTGAACTCCTGCATAGTTGACCATGGTTCAAGTCCCAGACCCGGCAGCTTGAAACTCATGCCAGGCACGTGTGCATGCGTGCCCAAGATCTCGGTGGAGAATGGAGAAGAGGGGACTACGGTGTAGCCATCCACCCCGGGGGGGTGGGGGTGGGTAGGGCATTTCTCCCTTTCTGTCTGTCTCTCAGGTAAGCGCATGCGTTCTATACCAACAATTTCTCTAAGGCAAAAAAAAAAAAAAAAGCCGTCGCCATCAATTATTTCCCTTCCAGCTGCGCTGGCTCTGGCTCCCTGGCGCGCTG